ACTACACAATTATTTTTCCCCACATCTGTTAATCTAAGAAAAAAATCTGCCTCCAAATGCTTAAGCACAGTAAATCAACAGGGTTCCACTGATTTAAATAGAGGTTTGATCACATCTGGCATCCGAAGGCTGATTATCTTGGTGGTGGTCCACCACACAAAACCTTAGCTATTACCTTACACAAGATTTTTCCAACTTCATTTTCATTGCTAATGGAATACAGCAAGGTTTACCTTCGAGGAGGCCCTCCCACAAATCTGGATTTGGAATCTTATTCTCTAAATTCCGGTGCTCAGATTGATTAGAAACCATTTGATGTGTCCCTAAACGATTCTGAGCTACAACATAATAGCAATTTCATATTCAAAATACTGATTTTCATGACATATCTTTTATCAAGGATGTCACTTGGAGATCTCCAAACATTTTGAAATTTATTCAGGTTTAAATTTGCCTTTGTCATTAACTACAGGCTGCATAAATTTGCTAGGATCTTAAAGATATTTTTAATGAAATCTGTTGGTACTTGGCTAGCCCAAACTGGTATGGTCTTTGAAAAGATTAGTTTTCCTGATGATATTAAATGATATAGTGAGTAGGAGTCTTCCTTAATTAAATAGTAAGAGAGAGTTTTTAAAATAATATTGTCTTCTAAATCATATGGAAAGATATACAATGGAGATTAAAACAATGATACTGTAATCAATTATTGTTCAATATTACCTCTGAACAAACCATATTAGTATTACCAAGCAGTAAATTTTTATTCTACTGTTTGAAATGGCTTAGCTGAAGTACTAGGAGAAATCATTTTTCAGTCTTACCCTACACCTTCTGAATAGGAGCTTTGATGACCCAAAGACCTGTTAGAGTGCTTAATTTTCTTTTATCTTATTAAGAGAACATGAATGAGAAAAAGAAAAAGAGAAGCAAAGAAAGTGCAGAAACAAGGGATTTATATATATATGTATATAAAGAGTGGTTTCTATAAGGTTTACCGTCTCTTTTGGTTCCTCATTCCTACCTCAGTATTATTAAAGTTTTCAGTATGAAAAATTAGAAAAAAATCTGGAGAGAATATGTATTATTAAGATTCTGAACTAGCAAAAACCAGTTACCTCACAATAACACTTTCATGTGTTTATATGATGCACATCAGTGGCTTCTTGGCAGTGGAGGTAGATGCAGTATGGAAGGCCTTGAAGTTCAAAAGTTGCCATTTGTTTTCCCTTCTTCTTCATCTCTTATTCTTCCCTTTTCATTCTTTCCTTCTCATTCACAAATTTTTCATGGACTCTTCTGTTTCTGTGGTTATACTGGTGGCTTCAAGAGGCAATTATGAATTATGAAAACTAAGCAGCTGCTTTTTGGGGGGAGGCAACGCACTTGAAGAGATAAAAAGCTGGATAAAAGGAAGGATGCAAGAAGTACTGAAGATACAATGTCACAGACACTGGGCAGGGATATAACACTGTTCACAGCTATTTGGAAAAATAAGTATGTAAAAGCAAGAGACCACTGAGAAATTCCTGGGGAACCTCATGAAGCTCCTTCTTTTCAGTCAGTGATGGTACAAGACCATTTTGTTGAGAGGTATTATTTAGTGGATGGATGGAGGAACTACTTTAATTAATTCACTAGATTTTTTTTTTTAGTTAAAAAAAACAGTCCAAGAAAAGACAGAATTAGACATAATTGATCTCTGTCACATAGGAATAAATGGTAATCTACCTTAAAATTTGTCAGTTCTAACTAAATATAAGATCTGAAATTTCTTTGTAGCATTTTCCAAGGTTTTTCAGGGCATAACCCTAGACTGAAATATCATAAAATTGTTCATGTGTCCAAGTATAAAGTGAAAATTCAGCTGTGTTTTTTAAGATTGACAGAAATAGAAATGGAAATTGAAGTAAATCATGACTCATAAATGATGAGGTTAAAAGAGGCAGACATGATTGCACATGTCGACCTTTTTTGCACAGTTGGTATTGAGTTCAAGAAAAGGCAATTAAGCACACATCATTTAATCAAACCTTCCTTTCCTGCTTCGAGGAGTTACACAGCACAATCACCTCAGACACACAGACTAAGATAAATAATGCAAGCAGGTACTCTAATACATTTTAAACAGCTGTCTGGGGAAAATATGTTTATTTCTTCACTCACTTTCAAACAAAGATCCAAGTTGCAAATCTCTTTTTTCCTTGCTTTATGATCGTGATTTTTCTTATCATGTGATTTTTCTTATTTTAGGCTGTCCTACAGCCTAAAAATTATTGCTTTGTGAAAGACTTCACAATGTCTTCACTGCTAACATCCTACAAGGTCTTACAGACTAAAAAATTATGGACTGACTTTTCCAGCCATGTCCAACCTCCCTGGCCTGCCTTCCCATCAGCCCAGCAAAAGGAAGCTGCTGGAAGCAAAAGCCTTTACTCCACTGCCAAAAACACACTGTTGTATGTGAAAGGAGAAACTGTTGCAGTAGTGATGGGAAAAAAGTCACCTCTGTAAGTTTTTGGGTTCCATCTGAGGAGATGTCAAGTGATCATAGCAGTTCTGCTTTCCCTGACCCTAACTTAGAAAGGACCATCTCTGAGGCTGAGCACATTTAAAATCAACTAAGATAGGGCTGAAAGGAGTTTTATCTAGAACGTATAAAACCTGTAATTTGTCAAGAATGTTAATGGTCAGCAAGGAATAGAATGGACATGATACAGGTTTTAGCAAACATCTATTTCTCTCTACCAAATTAGCAGCACCTTTAACATCTGTAAAAGCACTTAGGTCAGAACTGAAATTCTTCTCTAAATGGCAAATGATTAGCTACAGGACATTTTTTTGCCTAGAACTTTTCTTTTGCTACAGGTAGCTTTGTGAGGAGTGCTGATGGTTATGGGAAACGCAGTGATTAATAACACATTCTCTCAAACCAGGTTGTTAATTACATGTCAACAGTAATATAGTTAGCTGAAACAACAAGGAAAGAAATGGATGTGTGCTGAGGTCTCTCATTTTGCCCAGACCAGATGACCTGAGGCAGCTTTTGGAGCTGGGTTATCCTCAGCCACCTGCCCCTGGTGATCCTCACTCAGTTTAAGGCTAAATATCTTCTCTGTTCCAGATTGCTCAGTTCAAGGGCTACTCCACAGTTCCAGGCAAAGTATTTGGAGGCCAGTTCAGTTACGGCAGTTTTTCTACTAAATAAGAACAGCCATTTTATAACGTTGTTGACTTGCTGCATATCTGCTGAAAGCCTCTGAACCCTTTGAGTCCATATATTAAACAGTATTACCAAATCGTTATAAAATCAATAAATATAATTAATATCCTCAAATACTCTTCAAAGTTTTGACTGGAGTTTGACCTTGCTGAATTTTCTTCAGAAGTCAATATACAATTAAGATTGTATGAGGTTGATAGAGGTAACAGTTGTGAATATACCCAGAGAGCATTTTATGATGAAAATCAATCTGCTTAGGCCAATTTACATTGTCCTTGGTCGGTAGTTTCTTTAAAAAAGGTTTCATTATTATTCTACAAAAAAAAATTATTTAAAAAAATTTAGATATTTAAATAAAAGTTAAAAAATTGACTGTGCAGATGAGATTTCTAGAAAACTGTTCAGACTGTTCAACAAAATGTTGTTGTAAGCAAAGATAGTGAACTTAGAATAATAAGTATCAACAACAAGTTTTGCTTTGATGTAGTAAGGCAATGAAAGGAAAAATGCATGATTAGATTTTCAAAGATTAGAGGGTGAAGAAAGATTTAAATTGAATACTAATTTAGTTTGGAAAGCCTTGAGGAAGGTTTGCCCTTCATGTAAAAATTCTTTTTTTGAATTAGCAAGGTGTTTTATCTGCCAGATGAGCATAATTGAAGTAAAGAGTTTCTGCAGACAGAGAACGAACAAGCCTTGTTTTTATCCTCTGCACAGCATAAGCAGTCACAGCTGGAGGCTGGTGAGGAGGTCAGTGTTTGTGAGGAAACATGGAATGCTTTTAATCTGGCAAGTGGCTAAGGGGAAAGAAACTACTTGGAACTGAGCCTGCTTGTAAAAGGTGGTGGTAAAATTCAGAGCCTGTATCCTCTGAGCTCAGAGAATGGAAAAAGCTGCAGAAATGGAAGAGTTTGGTTAGAGACTCATGCAGACCTGACACTCAAATCCACCATTTTATCGGCAAATACACTCTCAGAAAAGACTTCTCTCTCAAATTTATTGAAACCATCATGTTTCTCTTCCAATATTAGAAACTCTTTCAGTGCTTATTCATGCATCTGTGGCTTTAAGACCACACAAAATAGTAATACTTAAAAGTATCACTTCTAAATTTTCAATCCATGATTACTTGCAAATCAAACTTACTTGGTTTTATTCCTTTTCATTTAAACTGTGATTAGTGAGGTGTAGACCACTTTCTGTGAACTGGCTGAGAAAGAGAAATGGGCACCCAAGGGAACCACTGGGCAGAAATTACTTTTTCTCACTATCTGGCAGAACTGGATTAATTTTTCAGTGACTGGGTTCGAACACTGCGTATAAGCCACACTTTCCAAAGTTTTTTGCATAGTTTTCAATAACAATACTGATAACAACAAAATAACTTTAGGAACTTTAGGCAGCTCTGACCTTTGTCAAGGAACAAGCAACTAAGCTCAGCTTCTGTGATGTGTCATAAGGTAGAGACCCAACAATTGAATCATCTGAAAACATTGAAAAATTTGTCTCTTATTTGGTGAAAGAATTACTTTCTTTAGAACCATATTTAGGATTATTAATAAAGAACCCTTTGATAATAAGAGAAAACAAAAAAACCCATTTAATTTATTGTAATTTGGCTATTATTTAGTGATATTGATCACTAAATAATCAAACTAAAATAATTTAATCTTCACAGATAATGAGACAAAGCACCACACAGAAAGTAAGCATTGACCTTGTATTTTCCATAAAACACAAAATACCTTATTTCATCTTTCAGTGTGTTTTAATTTACCTTGAAAACCGGTGACTCTGTTGTTTCTCAGGAGCATTATTCCCACTGGTTACCACAATGAAATTAGCCTTGGAGAGAAGAAATATCAGCAGATATGATGCACTTTCCATACAAATAAAAAAGTCAAAATTTTAATTTACACCTTTGTCTAAGAGTTAAATGAGTTTATAGGATAACTAATGATCTATTTTATTTTGCAGTTCTCTGTTGTGATATGAATGCAATGCCACTAAGGTGGCTTGGTGGAAGTGAATGAGAAATACATCTGATATTAGGAACACTTCATATTACTCTCCCTAAATAACCCATGGTCAGAAGTGTGCTCCTGAATTGGGTTCTCTGAATTAATATTCTAGAGCTATCTTGTCTTCATTAGCAGTTTATGGAATGAGGTTCTTAATTCAAAAGCAGCAAATAAGCCAGTTGGGGTCTTTTGTTTCAGTAAAAAAACATAGTTGAATTCAATGATCTTAATGGTCTTTTCCTAAATTATTCTATGATTCTATGATCAATTAATCTATGTTGGTTTAGCTGAGATTATAGAATCACAGAAAAGTTTGCATTGAAAGGGACCTTAAAGATCATCTTTAAGTTCTCTGGTTTGCTTCTAAGCAGGGCCTATATTTTCCCTATTCTTCCTTTAGTCACTGACGTACCTATAGAAGTTCTTCTTTTTCCCTTGATGTCCCTGATCATATTTAATTCTATGACAGCTTTAACTTTCCTTACCTAATCCCTGGCTACATGGAAAAATTCTCTGTATTCCTCCCAGGCTACCTGCCCTTGCTTCCATCCTCTGTAGATCTCACTTTATAATTTGGAAAATCTCAGTATTTTTCTCTCTACTTTCACTATGTGAAATTCACCTTTAGTACAAATACATCAAAAAAAACCCCCATGAAAATCATCTTCTTAATATAAATAAATAAATATTTTCATGTCTATCAACAGCTATGATTTTTCTTTCCAGTGATTCATGCCTGCACTGGACAATATTTTTTGACTACTGTAGATGTTTAAAAGATGTGAATATTATTCTGCTTATTGATTTCCCTTCATACTTAGCAGATAAATCAATAGGATGTGAAGATGAGGCTCCATTAAAATGATTTCTGGTGACATCATTTTTGCCTGAAAGTTTCCACAATAATGACCCTTAAGTTTGCCTGCAAGAGGTCGTTCAAACAAAGGAACACAATAAAATCACATGCCTCTCATGGGTTCAGTCTGTCATTTCTTCTCTTAGTATAATTTTAAATCTTAGTTAGTATTTCTGCTATGATGTAGGTACAGTTTTTTCTGATGAAAACAGAAAGTAGAAGAAAGTGGAAAAAAATACAAACAGGTGCATTATTTCATTGTGCACATTAAAGAACCTCAACTGACCCTACCTCTCAAACATGACAGCTACAGTCTAATACAAGGAAGCCCATAATAGAAACACCTCTCAGAAGAGCTATATATACACAGTCATACAGAGATGCCAAAGGTGCACCATCCTTTGTAAAACTGTTGTGTAAGCTGCAATGATTATTGTAGAACAGCACCTTATGGCAAAATTTTTGCAAGTTTTGTTCCCCAAAAGAGGCTTAACTGAAAATACCTCTCCAAAGGGTCTGGTTGCATTTTGTGGTTAACACCACCTTACTATTGTCCCAGCTGCTGTAATAAGAACCTCCTCAGGGATGAGGATCCATTACTGCAAGGCACTGTAGAAAGAGCAAATGGGAGGTCCACACACAAAACCCTCTATAACCTGTGTTTGAAACAAAAAGTGATAGGGATGTACTGGAAGGGTGTAGAAGGATGTTACTCATAAAAAAAAAAAAAAAAAGAAAAAAAAAAGAAAAAAGAAGAAATTAATGACCTAGGTACTACTGAAATTTTATTAAAGGCTTATTTTCAAAGAAATTTGAAAAGTGCCATGAAAGGGTTATGGTGTGAGATGGCTTTGCAGTTGTCTGTTGGGTCTTAGTCAGCACTGGACATAACATTGTTCCTTGCAAGAGGAAGGGATTGGAATTGAAGAACTATGCTTCATCAAGTTTAGGTTAACCTCAGGTGACTACACATCCTTAAGCCACAAGACAAACTGGTAGAAATTTTATTTTTTAACAGGAGAGAAACAGATCGAATTGAGATGTAGATCATGTAATCATATAGTAAAAAGATGGTTCTGCTTGTGGAATTAAAAAGAGAATCCTGTGGAGAAAGAATGAGGGAATAAATAGTTTGGAGGAGAACTAGGAGAAAATTGAATCATCAGGAAAAGGCAATATTTCAAGAAAAAGAGAATGGTGGCAGTATTGAAGGCAGCTGTCAGGTCACAGAGATGAAGATAGAGTACAGGTTCTGGGACTTGGCTAAGAATGGGCCATTAAAAATTTTGGCATGAGTGCCTTGAATTGATCGAGTGCAAAGGATGCAAGGCAGAACTAACAGGTCTGAGCATGGAATTGAGGGAATTGAAAACAGCATGGTAAATAAGGATAAAGATAAATGAGAACGGGAAGGTAAACTGGTCTCTAGAGAAGCAAATGGGTTGAAGTGTGAGATCTTTTGTTTTTAGTAGAAAATACCAGAGCAGGATTGTATAATGAAGATAGGAAAAATAAAAACTGTAGCATATGAGAAACTTAAGGCAGCAGTAACATGACAGTGAATAAAAGAACAGTCAGCAGATGTGATGAGATGTGATAAAGTGCAGAGGTTGGATGGTACTTTTCAATCAGAGTCAAGAGAGAAGAAAACAGAAATGAAAAATAAGCAAAAGAGAGGAATAAGGTCACATTATGTTTGATAATTTTAACTTCCAGTTAAAAATGTGTGGAAACAGCAGGGAGGATGCAGAAGAATGACAGAGATTTAAGTGTGTCTTGTGATGAAAACATGTAAAAAATCATGTATGAGAGGTGAAAACAGAAAAATCAGCTATGAGGGGGATGGGAACTATCAAGGATTTATGATGTTAGTAGACTATAGATAGCAGAAAGCCCAAGTGAGAGGGTCTGATTGACTACATAAAGTGCATTGGGCTTGTAGAGTGGAAATTCAGAAAAATGGGACAGTAGGACATGGTAGAGAACAATTATTATATTCTCTCTGCAAGAAGAGAAAAACAGCATGAAAATGTAGAGTCAGTGGACACACCATCAACTAGAAGGGCTGGATTTTCCTCCAGTTGCTTCCAGAATGCACATGACCATAATGCCTGTAAAAACCAGAGAGTTTTGGGTTCAGTGGTTTAGACAAGCTCAAAGATCACGGTAGGTCCCCAGTGATCATGTTCAGATGTCTGAATGCCCTTTTTTGTGTTGATCATCTCCTCACATGTGAATTTTACCCAGATAGAAATGCTGCAGCTACTCTGGGTATTCTGATCTTTTTCCTCTTTCTAATGGGAGAAATCATCATCTGTCGTTTGTACAGCACTGAGAAAAGGTCGGAACAAATGTAAACAGCCTCAAAACATCTGGGTTATCTTATGACTAGAACTTCACTTGTTCTCTGCACAAAAGTGCAGTTTCTCTCAATTAAGAAGGACTACTTTAAATGGCTACTTGTTCTAATTTTCCAACTATGCAATTCATACTAACTATTCAAGGAAATTAACATTAAAATCACTGCATGTATATTTGTGATAAGCAAAAGTAAAAGCATTAAATGTACAGCTACACACAACAAAAAAATTGCAGAATATTTGGTTTTGATTTGGTTCCACAGCTTGGACCATCTCCTTCAGGGAGAATTATATTACAGAACCAGTCAGTGGAAGTCTTTTGAATATAACATTGACTCTACATGGTTTTCCCTGGAAGAAGGACAATATTGCTTTGAAAGATGGGGACCACCATCTCCCAACAGACACTCCAACGTGCTGCCAGTGCTCTTCTATGGCAGAGGACTACTCTTGGATTATAGCAATGCAGAACCTCCTGGACAGGAAGATTTTACCAGCTGTGTACAAGAGCAGACATTCCTGTATTGCCCTTCACCACGGGGTATAGTGTGGTGCTTCTGGAAACACTACCCTATTGATGCATAAGAAAATGAGATCCAAATGCTAGTCAAAAAACAATTAGTGATATAACTATCTTTCCTAATGTGCAGCACTGTGAGATTCACTGTCTGAAAAGTGAAAAAGTTTCCTTACTCAATCTCTTTTATATTTCTTCCCTCCCTCTGAAGCAGCTGTTATTGGCCAATTTACCTTGGCAAATCCCATGACCTTTATCTCATGAGAGATCTGATCTTGCTCTGGGATCATGCATTGTGTGAAAAGTTTAGCTAAACAGGTGTCATTACCTCATACCCTTTGGTTGTCCCGCTGCACTGGGGCTCAGAGGATATTAATTATTTTCATCTCTTCTGGATAATATGTAAAAATAGGCACTAGATAAAGAGGACATCCACTGAAGAGATCTATATTTATTGAGAGGATCTATATTATTAACTAAACCAGAAAGGTACATCTTGCAATAGAATCTCTGTCCTATAAACCAGGAAAAACCCTTCCTCTGTATGCCAAACTCCATGGCAACCATTTGGTTTCCAACATCTCATCCAATATTTTGTTGATGTCAGCTTTCCTTTGAGATCACTGCTCACTGGGTTGCATTTCTTCCTATTCAGACCCCTGTGATACCAGCTCTTCCTCTATCTATGCAACGGAGTGCAACCAATCACACCTAGGCTGCTCTGGAGTAGTTAGAAACTTGCTCAGATAGTCCTGGTCTGGAGGTTTGGCACATTCTAGGGGGAAAAAGGAAACCCTAGAACAGCAAAACAGATAAATGACCTCTTTAAATCCTGTCCTTACAAGCTATATTCTACAGCAGGGGGGTGTGAAGGGGTTACAGTCCCCTTCCTAAATTCCCAAGGTGCACAGTAGCCAGTGACCTTCACGAGCATTTTCAAATTGCAGTGATGTTTTTGGATTCACAATGTTGAAGATAGCCTGCAGATCCTTTTGGGATCATGCCTTTCATCTCTAGAGAGGTGCCTACCCCATTCTGGGTCCTCAAATAACTCTGTGCAATTGAGTAGAGTTGAGTTAACAAAGATTTGTGAGGGGACGAGGCCGTTAATCAGCATTTTGGCTTCCTCTGCTGTCACTCAGGCTGCAAATGGTGTTGCCATCTGCTTTTCTCTGTGTTCTCATCCAGGCTACGGGATGTGCCCTTGAGAGATTGAAAAAAAAAAACAAAAAACAAACCAGGAAAGAATAAAAAGGACCAGCTTGATTTCTGGCTGCAGCTTGCTGTTTGTGCCAGTCATTGGCAGAACGCTTTGTTTGTAGGCAGCCATGGGGTGTTAAGACAAATGGCTGTTCTGCTACGGAATGTATTTTCCAAGAAAAATGTTGGGATTTAGCCACAAAACTCTCTGAAGGTTTCAAATGGTCTCCTTGTCTTCTTAGAAACACATTTTCTCCACTGGCAGAAATATATTTGCACTCTTTCCATTTGATTGAGGGAGCTCTGAGGCTGATTTTGGCACTCTTGTTTGTAGACTTAAAACTTCCATCACAAGAGGTATGATTGTGGAGATCTACATTGTTTTCAATCTTAACAATGTTATAGCTTTTTAAGATCTGTTTAATCATGCACTTATGTAAAATATAAACAGAAGTCTTAGGAATAGGCTTTTTTGAAACCAAGTTCTCCATCTTCCTTGTCTAAACTATCATATGTGAAATGCATCAAGGTTAAGGGGGAAAAGCAACAACGAAAAAATGCACAACTTTTTGAACAAAGTTGAAATGAAGCAGCTGAACAAAAAACGTTGTAAACTAACATAACTTTCCAGCTCAACTAATCCAACTCATCAAACTGCTAAGATCTACGGTGAGTCAATGATTTCAAAAGCAAACACTAGCTGAGGGAGTACATATAAAATCAGATAAGACAAAAAGAAGGAAAAGAGAAAATAATAAAGAAAATGAGAAAATAAAATCTGTGAGGACATAGACAAATTTGTTCTCTAGAGAGTTTAATTTCTATTATTATTTTTATTATAATTATTATTATTTTATTTAATGTAATTTTATTTATGTATTTCAGTTCTGATATATTATGATCCAGGTTTAGAGATATGATACCACTTTCTTTTCCTGTTTTTGTGGGAATTGACATTTATTCTACAATATAATTACAACATGAGCTTTATATAAACTTGGAGATTTTTTTCTTTTCTCACTCTACATTTTTCATGTATTACTGCCCTCTGTGCTGCATAGAGTTGAAAGGTAATTTTCTTTGTGTGTGTGCAGACATTGATCTCTGCTTAGCCAGTCAAGCCCTATTGAGTAACCAATATCCTGAGATCCCTGCTTAGTGATTTACCAGAATCCTTTCTCTGACTGCTTTGAACCAGGACCTTGAATGTCAGTCTCTTCAGCCCAATGTGAGATACAATGACCAGCGATTTCCCAAATCTTAAATGCCTCTAATTTTTCAATACTCTAATTTTTGAAAGTAATTCAAAGTTAATTTACATCAGGCTTTAGCTATATAACATGGGAGCTCCCAGGTTACTTAACTTCATATCTCTTGTTTTTCCTCCTCTCATATTAACTCCTCAGTTTACCAAAACTTTAAGCACGGTATTTTCTGCACAGCACTACAACAACCAGATGGCTTCACCTGGAAGGAAGATTTCAGAAAAAGGGGAATAAAACAACCAACCTGCCAAACAAAAAAACCCAACCCTAGTTATTTTTAACCATTTTAATTTTTTAAAGGCAATATTATAAATCAGATTTTCATCTGGTGCAAAGTTGTCTAGACTCTGAAAATATGACTGTTGCCCATTCCTGAATTAACATAACTGACACAGCACTATCAAGAAATAAGATGAGGAGGAAGAAGTTTTAAATTAATAGCTTGCTACATTATGTGCCGCTGTAATCCTCACTTTTTGAAATAATTGAGCAATGATGAAGGCAAAATTCAACTGAGGAGGAAAAAAATTCCTTTATAATGTGTGAATATTGAGGTACCACCAATGTAAGCACAATTTCAAGTATATAGTTGTTCTAAACTGACCCATCAAACTAAACTACTGCTGATTATTAAAATCAAGGTTGACACAAAGGCACATGTTGAATTCGTATTCCATAAATGGGTATGGATAGTCACAAGCACTTAAAATTTTAAGTATTTTCATAATCTTAGCCTTAAAGTTCTTTTTGGAGGAAGGAGCTGGAATTAAATCTTTGCAGCCTTCAGGTAGGCACCATAATGACATTTTAAGTATTTTCATAATCTTAGCCTTAAAGTTCTTTTTGGAGGAAGGAGCTGGAATTAAATCTTTGCAGCCTTCAGGTAGGCACCATAATGACATTTTAAGGTGTGAAGCAAATGCACATCACTTTTCAGAAAAGATATGAGAAAGGGAAAAAAGAAGGTCCAACTAAAATCCTGGGAAAGGTAGGTCATTCAAGTTGAATAGTGGCTTTCAGAAAATCTAAGGTTCTCTTCAGATGAGGAAAACTGAATACAGGTGTTTGCAATCAATGTAAGAGACATAGTATGATAGACCAATAGAGGCTTGTAATTGAAAAGCAGTTTTTATACACTTCATACCTTGTTCCTCAAACACATTAGGAGTAAAAAACCTTGCAGAGGGTCTCTAGAGTCAATTGATAATAAAGGTACAAAAGGAGCACTTGGAGAAAAAAAGGGTGAACCAGAAAACGAAATTAATTTTCTGCCTTTATATTCATTGTGGAAGAGCTTGAGGAGGTTCCTACACTGGTACCCTTCATTACTGGCATTCACCGAAGATCTGAATCAAATTGAAGTGTCAATAAATTTTACAGAGCAAACAACAAAATTGGACAGGGACAAATTGCATCAATAAGCACTTACCTAAGAATTCAAAAGGAGTTCAAGGACCAGAAACTGAACAGCTCTTAGTGGCATATAAAGTGTCCCTTAAACCCACCTTCATATCTGAGAACAAGAAAGTAGAAAATACAAATAAGATGACAAAGTTTCAAGAAATATACTATGAATTATCCAAAAGTAAAATAAAACCATCAAATCAGGATTGTATCCATTTTTTTTGAAAGAAATTCCTTAATATATATGACAAACTTTGCTGAAAATACAGCTCTAAGGTTGTAAGAGTAAAAGACCGTGGCTGCAAAGGTTGATCTTATGGTACTGCAAAACTCGATCTGGGCAACAAAATGGATAAATATAATCCAAAATAGGTAAATATTATGTAATGTAAATGGGTGAAAAAAATGGTTATTTTGCATGTAAAGGGAGGGGATCTTCATTGAGCAATGTAGCTGGTGTCTGAGATCTCGAGAGTATGATGTGTAGTTTAGGTGCTTATAATAGTTCAGAAACAGTGAAAAAAGAAAATAACATCATGAAAGTTATTAGAGAAAGAATAGAGAAAAGATAGAAAACATTTATGTTTCTGCATAAATCCAAGCCACTCAGTTCTCATGCTCCTCTACAAAAAGGTTTAAAGAAGGGCAACAAAGATGAAAAGGAATATTGACTACTGTTCCTACTTTGACTGAGTAGACAAGGACTTGTCCTTGTGGAGAAAAGACATCTGAAGGAGGATTTGACAGAAGAATGGAAAATCATGCTTGGCAAAGGAAAAAAGAGATTGATTATCCAGCGTCTCTTCCAGTACAAGAACTAGGAGACATCAAATGCAATTAGCTGTGAACAGATTAAAAAACAACAGAAAAGCAGCTTTTCCTACATCTCATGTTTGAGCTGCAGAGCTCCTTGCTGCAGTACATTGTGGATGCTAAAAGTTAGGGAAACCAAAGAGAAACAATTCACAGGGAAGAAATACATCAAGGTGTGATAAATAGATGCTATCACCTCTGGCTCTAGAGGTACCTGATATGTAAGGTTTTGGAGGCTATGTTGAGATATAATATATATTATAATATAATATAATATATTATAATAAGGATATAATAATAAATAACCCATCCTTAAACAAAATCTTTCTTGAGCTCTTGACTTCTTGCTGTGTTAGGGAAAAAAAGTATTTTCATGGGTATTTCTATACAAGGCAAGTGATTCAAATATGCCTATTGTTAAAGCTTGAGGGAGTGAAAGAAAAGTATAAGCACTATAAGAACACAGTATTTTAATTTCACAAAGATAGCAAGGCAAAAAATTATGTAATTGTTTAAAATTAAATATTAATTAAAATAATATTAAAAAATGAAGATATAGTTGACCACTTTTACATAAAAAAAATTTCAATGAGGACTGAAAGTCCTACACCCCACAATATGAATTTAACCAATTCTTCCTCATCAGTTAGAATCCAAATCAAAACTAACCCGTTCTAATAAGTTTTACAAGCTTCAGAACAGAAAAACTGTCTTCATCTATTTCAAGGGCACCCAATATATTCCAGGGTCTTCTCTGTTTCACAATAGCTAAATAATTAAAGTTATCCTCTATTATTATCAGACTCTTTTCTTTTACTGACTTTCTTAGGGGGCTGCAAAACTTTCATCAATCCATTGCCATCCAATGAAAGATGTTTCCTTTCACTGGCATCATTCAGAAGGAAGGTTCCTAGGTACCTTAAGAACTTTATCCATACACATCATTCTGGAAATCTGATCATTTAACATGAGTGATGGTACGGATTTTTTCCAACTGGCTTTAAGCACTGAAAACCCTAAAGCCGAGAATACCTGTTTCTACACAGGAAAGCCTACAAAGCTACGCAGAACAGGTTTGGTGCACAATACACACAAAGAATGAAAGCCCTTCTCCAATTTTCGTGAACAAAGCACTCAAAATAGTCAAGAGTCCAAAGGCATCAATGTGCTGTTAGGCTCTGGAACAGCTTCAATAATGTAAGAGTTAAGTAAATTGTTTAATGGCTTCCTTTGCTATAAAGGAAACATAATTGCAGCTCCGCTGGGTAACACATTGAATAGTCATGATAAAAGCTTTCTTTCTGCTTTGTCTACTGTACCATCTGCTCATTCCTTCCAGAACTTCTCTCTGGCAAGTGACCCACTCATTGCAATATAGCTTGGCAGATAAGTGACATTGCAGCATACTTTGTGTGTGTCTGTGCTTGCTTAAATCTATAAATATTCATAAAATTGTTTTTTAATGAAATTAAATATACAGCAACACACCACTTATTTGTATTTTCTGTAGTGAATCTGTAGTGAAACAGATTTCTTGTAATTTCTGTTAGAAAAAAAACCACAAAATATAAATAACATTTTTAACCTGGAGTTATAGAGTGAGGGTCTTCGTAGATTTTCTAAGAGTCCAGGGCTACGCTTGGGAAATTTTGGTTTCTCTTAATCAAACTGACTCAAATTTGTGGATCGGGGAAATTAAAGGGGAGGGAGCTACATTTGGTGCTAAATTATAAAACAGATTAATTGTAATCTGGAGATTAATTCAGTATACATAAAGGTGCCCTGGAGAACAAACACCTATTTGGAGGGTTACTAGTGTACATAGAGATGTGATTACTTTTGTCAGTGGGCACCTGGACAGGTGATGACATCCTACTTTCTAAATTATTCTGAATTCTTTGAATACCATTTGTTAATATCAACCTTGTCAGACAATAATAGATGGAAAAGTAATACAGTTAGTTAATAAATTGTATTTTCTAAACAAGCTTCTTAAAATGGCAAACTCCTCAACCACCAGGAAATTGTTAACAATTTTTTCTTTACCGAGTACCAGGGAAGGCTTTAATAAATGTATGAATATGTTGCTGACATTTCTCTAAAATCCTTTGCCAGTCACCCTGAATATCATGGGTCAGTATTCTTACAAACATAGATATGCTGTCTGAATTCTGCAAAGCAATGCTTGCAATGTGTACATGAATTTTGAGCAGGTGTTTGGTTTGACTCTGATTTCTCCCCTTTTTATTCTTTATTCATTTACGCTCTTAGAAGTTTTTGTGGTTTGGACTTTTTTTTTACAGAAATATTTGAATAACCGTGCAGCATATACCTTTACAAGCAAAAAATAATTCGTCTTATGTGATTTCTCACTCTATTTTGTTTACTTCTGTTAGCTTTTTTTCATCTGAGCTTCAATCACGCCAAGGCAAAAGTAGAACTTACTCCATGCTATGGGTGTCATATTCATATGAATAATATCTTGTGAACATTCAAAGTGAAAAAATCCAGGCAGAATTTTGATTGGAAATGGTGAGCTCCAAGAGTCTAACAAATGTTTTCAAAATACTGCTTTGGGTCACAATGAAATGAGTGAGTCCATCTACAGCAGGCACATCCACATGCCAGTTGCTTTTCTTATGAAAGCCATGAATCTTACGGGATGTTTTATATGTGGAAGTCCTTTTCTATGGACGAGCTTCTGGGTACCTCTTTGAACAAAGTGAGCTCTGTCAGGGCACTTTCTGCCCCTGACTATGATAAAATTGAAAGAATGAAGAGCAAGATTATTTTCATTGATCTGTAAAAGGAATATATTCCTCTGGATCATGATGAAGATAATTATTATTACAACCCCTCCAAGGAATAATAGGATATGCAGACACAAATAATTTATATTCCCAGTACAGTGATAACTTAGGAAATGTAACCCAAAATACTAACACTATAAACCCTGACTGAAGAGAAATCCTTATGATTCATCATTTACATGACAACAATTCATTTAAGTTGATTCACTGACTATAACAAAGGAAAATGAATAATATATTGCTTCTTCATTAACAGCCTGTTTTAACAGAAGCTCAGAATATAAGAGAAAACAGTCTGTTTGAATAAAAATTTCTGAAAGAGAAGTGAATTGCTGTGTATTAAATGTCAGAATTACTTATTTTTCCCTTATCTTCCTTCTAATGTGTCTAAATATTTCATAGGGTAATGTTGCATTGCATGTTCATAATCATATATAGGAATGTATTTAAGAGTTCAGAAAATTGGAACCTTCCAGTTCAGGCAGTTCAGAGCAGCTAAAGTACTACTGTAATTAATTTAAAAACTATTTGGCTTTGACAGATTGCATTATTTTTCCTCATTTGAGCATTCAAATTATCTGATGGGAAGTTAGTAAAACATCTTGACAAGTGCCAAGTGCATGGACTCTCTCATATGGGGTCTTTATTTGAGAATCATGATATAATTCCACTAATTCTATATTTGGTGGTATAGTAGGTGTTCAAGTTCTGAAATGTAAACCAAACATAATGTTCCAGGCCTTTTAGGTTCACTGACCAGAACATGGGTCTCTGTGATCTATTCTTAGCAGCAGCAGCTGAATAGAGACAAATTACACTTTTCACGTTTTTTAAAATGCTACATCATCTGTGCTTTGATATGATAATTTAGTGAGGAGCTTTTAACTACTCATCAACTAGAAATGTGACAGGATTAATAGTTATGGTTTTTTGTGGCATTCTGCTAAGTACCATGTTACTGATTTAAGAAATGCAGCTTTTATGGAGTTCATTATCTACCACTCACCATTTATTTACAATAACCAAACATGTTGAAGGAATTTTTGACAGCACTTTTTCAATGGCCATACTATGAACAATGAAATTTCTCGGGCTACTTTTTACTGGGAACCTTTGAGACCCACCATGGGTGGGTCTGAATCACAGAAATAAAACAAAACAAATCAAATTGAAAAGCTTGACATGATGTGCCCTAAACTAGAAGATGAGAAGAATTGAATACCTTACCTGACTGGACTGTGAGATTACCAAAGAACATATGTAGGTATTAATTTAAGATGACAAGTAAATGTGATATTTCCCTGGAGTACTCCTTCAGATACCTTGGAGACTTTCTCAGCTGGAAGTCAGTTGGATGTATTTAGGAATAAATGCTGTATTCCACCATGAACCAGTCCAATTTACTGCTGAAGTCATGTAAACATTCAGCCCCCTATGATGACCTTCATCTTGGAGATCCAGGATGTCACACTGTTGGGCACCTGGA